TTAAAAGGAACCCTATTTGTTTTTGACTTTTTCCCAAATTCAGAAATGTTTTTTTAAAAAAAAGCCTATCATCAAAAACCCATACCCCAGTATTTATATGCAGAGACTTTTTGACTTGAGACCACCCAAAGTAGTGATTCCAAAAATGTTTTTAAAATTTAGAGTTTAGAGCTAGAAAAAAAACATGACATTTTTTTTTTTAGCGTTTTTTAAAAAAAGTGTAACGTAAAAAGAACCCCTTTTAGTACCTAAAAAACAACTCTAACTGCTTAAAACTTGGTCCCTTTGGAGCAAAAAGGCACACTGTGTCACTGCAATAAAGGAATTTACAATATCTACATCATCAACCCTTGTTTTATATAAAGTGAGAAAAAAAGTGGGCCAATTATTTTAACCCGAGGGGCCCCTTTAAAAAAAAAGTGGGGTCGACTTTTACCCCGCGACCATGACGGCCTGAGTTCTATCTTTAAAATGTATAAAACCCGACAGACATCAGTGCCCCGTCCATAGATGCGCTTTCTCAAAAAGGTAGGGTTACAGTGTCAAAAAACTTTTGACAAATCTACAAACAAAAGGGGCACGGGGTTTTTTAAATCAAGAATTTGCAAACATTTAAAAAAAGAGAGTGGCCGATGTGGTACTGGGTTGGATTAAACCCGATTTATTTGGGGCAAAATTACTGTTAAAGAAAGGAAAGTTGTCCCGTTTGTTGACTTAGATTCTGGTCTTTGCCGACAAGGGAGCCTAGAGATGGGTCGATAGTTTTTCCAAATCATACCGTCACCCCCCCTTATTAATGGCAGAAAAAAAAGCGCTTTCCACCCTTAGGGATATTTATGCTTTAATGTTAGATTAAAAAAAGTGTGTCAGAACCAGCAATGTAGGTGCAGCACACTTTAAATAAGTACGGGGGTTAAAATTTCAGCGCCTGGATTCTTATTCAAAGGAAGGGCAGCTAGAACCCTTTTATTTTTTTTTTCATTTTTTTCTGGGGAAAAACAAAAACGGGTTAAAACCATTTTTTTTCCC